AACAACAAGCTCAGTCTACCTAGGACTGGCATTGGTCGTTTTGCCTGGCTTGCAGATAGCTGGCTTGCAGTTGGCCGTTCTAACCATTCAAACGGAGCGAGTCCGCGAGCGAATCTTCGTTCGCTCGTCCTCTGAAGGATTCAAACAACGCGAAGAACAAAAAATAAAGCTCATAAATTCCAGCTTCGATTGACTCGATTGACTGGATATCCACCACGCTCCTGCTACTCCTCTGTTGCCGCTCCTCTCTGTTCTGTTGCCCTGCCGCGTTGCCATAGCCATTGCTCCTCTTTTGTTTATTCTCACTTGATGGACCTGACGACGCTTCCTCTGCCTCAGCATCTTCATCTTCAACAACAGCAGCGCCAGCACCAGCATCCTTGTTCAGTCCACAAGGCTTCAGACAAGCCTTCTTTGAATCTGATCCAATCATCCCACCATCTGATCCTCCACCATGACTGCAGCACCATTGACCGCAGTTCAATTCCAGGAGCTCCTCCAGCACATGGGAAAACCAAAGAGAAGACAAGCTTACAGAAGCCCCTCGGCTTGGAGGTATACAACACACTGGAGCCTGACAGGATCTGGCTCAGATGGACTGGGAAAGGAACCTAAAGCACCTATGCCTCAGGGGTTTCCATGGTGACGACCATCTGAAACATCACACCACACTCCAGCCTATCGAATTGGCATGCAAGAAAAGGACTGAAGGATTCCCCCAGTCTCTTTCTCACTTTGACTGAGTCAAATGCTCTGGGTCCATGTTTAGCTCTCTCATCGTCTTTGAAAGTATGATGACAGAGCATGGAATGGAAGGGGTCTTCCAGCTTGTTGTTGGAGACTTAATACTAACACTATTAATAAATCAACATGTTCACTGCTCCTGGACAGGTTTCAGAGTCTATGATGGAAAAATGGCATCAGGATCTCACAGTAAATGGGGTTGGATTCATAGATGCTGGGACTCTGAAGCCACACTCTGTCTGCCGTATGATCTAACCAACCTGCCTGGTCGGGAAAGGCTGTCTTGAACTCTTGCACTGATGCACTCCAGGAAGAATTGAAATCATATGTTCCTAGAGCCAAACACAATGGGCCCCAACTTCTCTTGGCTCTTCTGCAGAAAATATACAGACCTTCTCTCAGTAAGATTGAAACCCTCAAAGCAAGCTACTTCACTTGGACATCACCAAGTTCCCTGGGAGAATGTTTCCATGTATGTTGTCGATGCAAGCAAGATCATCAAAGAGATTCGATTAAACTTTATGTCAGTGATCCCATCCTGAACTAACCAGCACATCTTTGAGGGTCTCCTTGGCTGTGTTGTCCATACTTCGATCAAAGTCCATGAGCTTGTGTTCAAGAGTGACATCAACGGATTTGATAGCAACTATGGGAACAAACAATTGGAAGCACTCGACACTTTGAATGACTTGGATGCCCTCTATCGGGTCCTCATCAACCAGAAACTTATGAGCCTGCCAACATCTTGGATCCAAGGATCCCAGGCCAAAGCCTTCCAGGCAGCAATTGACAAAGCAGTTAGGCAAAAGTTGGGAGTCTCACCCAGGATCGAAACAGTGGGTAGCCAGTGGCGGTACCCGTCCTCGTGGAGGCGCCTGCTTTGATTGTGGAGCTACTGATCATCATAGAAACGATCCAGCATGTCCCAAGCGAGGTGCTCCCAAGGAAACGGTCTGAGTGCTGAAACCAATTCAAAACTCACAACTCTTATTAAAGAAAGCTTGCTTCCATGCCTCCAAGGGAGAACATTCCGATGATGCCCAATCGATCGGCAGTTTGTTTTTGTTCCATCGATTCCATCGCTTTTCCGTGTCGTTGTTCGAAACAACATCGTTCGAAACAACATCAATGTACCTCTCCGACGAGTTAATGAAAAAGTGAGGAACTGAAGCATGACTCAATAAAAGACTTAAGCTCAGGTGATTCGAATCGATAATAGTGGGTAATGAAGCATGACTCAATGCATGACACACAAGCCGAGCCTTATATATGCAGTCAAGCCTCATTTTTCGTTGAATTCTGTTACTCGGTCGATCGACATCTTCAGCACGGATCGAGGAGTGATGATGGGATCGCCATCTGCCAAGGTCTACCGGTGATAGAGATAAGCAGTATAGCAGTAGCAGTACAAGTGGTCCTGCAGCGTCGAGAAATGGATCCTCATTGAGATTATGATCGTCAACAGGACAAAAGGTGGACTCCATAGGAGTCCATGGTATATAGGATCCTCATCCGATTTCGATCACGACAGGATGAACGTCCTTGTTGAGATTGCGATCGTCAACAGGATGAAATGGAAGATGCTTGCGAGCGAATCAACAGCAAGGGGATTGCTTACGGCGTGGGGTTGAGTTGCAATAAAGAGAAGGACTACCGGTGGAGATTGGGCTCTGCACCAGGGATAGATCATTCCATTGACAACCATAGGGATAGACATATAAGAATAAGAATGAGTAACATCTCATACCTCGCATGTACCATGCGACAATACCATTGTGCATGATATCTAGGGATCTAAGAGATTAAAGTTGTATTTCCAAATAAGTGAGCGCAGTTATTGATTATTTTCTAGAATAAGCCTGCTAATTGTAAAGCTGTAAAGCTGAATTGTAAGCTGTATCCCGTCGCAGTCAGACTCACGAAGGAAGGTCCCGATCAACAACCTCAAGCTCGATGTCGAAGCAGGAGCAGTTCCAGAACGCATATACGTCAGGTCTAAAAGAGACGAAGATGGCGATGATGCTAGACTGCCTACTATCGACATGAACCAGAGCCCTTTTGACCTTCCAGACGATGAAGAAGAAGGGGAGATAGGGGAGACCACTCCAGAAGAGTCTACTCTAATGGACAAACCACCTCTCAGGGAAATGCCCCCAGTAGAGACAGTCAATGATGATGACAACAACATTGCCAGCCATAAAAATGACGAACCTGAGAAAGGATCATCTAGCACTGAGGAACCATTCATCTTCAACAAACAACAAATGAGGACTGACAATCCCACCGAATCAGGACTACCTCCTGAACAGATGATCGAAATGACATTTCTCATGCTGCCTGCAGAAGATGACACTCGAGTAAGAGCCAAGATCCTTTTGAAAGAGTCAACCACCACAAGGAGAAGGTTCAGCAAAATCCCAATATGATCAAGTTCAAATGCAGAGTCAATGACGAGTACGAGGAGATCGTCACCTACAATGACATCGTGGACTACATCGAACAAGATCAAACTTGGGATGGCACTTGGAAGTTCCGCAAAATCTTGGATCACCAAGGTCCCATCAAGTCATCTGATAAGGATCGATACAAGGGATCACGATACAACGTCCAAGTTGAATGGGAAACTGCGGAGATCACTTGGGAGCCTCTCACCACCAAGGACAAGCAAGTTGGGAGTACTTGAGTCTGATCCAGTCACAGTCGCCATCTATGCTGAAGAACATAGTCTACTAGACACAGTTGGGTGGAAATTACCTGGACTCAAGAAGATCGCAAAGACTCAAAAGCGACTTGTACAAGCGGCTAACCAAGCAAAGCTTCACTCCTTCAAAACCAAGCCCATCTTCATATACGGATTCCAAGTTCCGTGCAACCATGACCAAGCCACGGAATTAGATGCACGCAATGGAGACACCAAATGGAGAGATGCCGAGATGACTGAACTCAATCAGATTGATGAGTACGAGACCTTCTTCAACAAAGGAAAGGGACATAATCCTGGACCGGATTGGAAGAAAATTCGGGTACACATGGTGTATGCAGTCAAGCATGATGGACAACACAAAGCACGACTTGTCGCTGGAGGACATCTCACTGACACACCAGTAGACTCCGTCTACTCCAGTGTGGTCTCATTATGTGGGATTCGCATCCTCACGTTTCTCGCAGAGCTCAACGATTGCGAGGTATGGGCAACAGATATAGGAAATGCGTGCTTGGAGTCGTTTACAAAAGAGAAAGTATACATTGTTGTCGGACCTGAGTTTGGAGAATGAGAAGGATGCACCCTCATCATCAGCCGTGCCTTCTACGGACTCAAGTCATCCGGATTACGCTGGCATGAGCGATTCGCGGATGTTCTTCGTTCTATGGGATTCTTCCCATCAAAGGCCGAATCAGACATCTGGATGCGAGACAAAGGGAACTACTACGAATACATTGCTGTATACATAGATGACCTCCTCATCGTCAGCAAAGAAGCATACAAGATCATCGCGGCATTGGAAGGGGAGCACAAGTTCAAACTCAAGGGAACGGGTGCCATCAGCTTCCATCTAGGATGCGACTTCTTCCATGACGAGCGAGAACGGAGTACTGAGCTATGCACCTCGCAAGTACATTGAGAAAGTGCTCAGCAACTACCAAAGAATCTTCTGGCACATGCCAAAACAGGTTGCATCCCCACTCATCAAGGGAGATCATCTAGAGACCGACACAACAGAGCTACTCGATATGGACACACAAAAGATATACCAGTCTCTCATCGGTAGTCTACAGTGGGCAATCCAAATCGGAAGATTCGACATTGCCACGGCCACCATGACAATGTCCAGATTCCGAGCAGCACCAAGAATGGGTCACCTGAAATGAGTAAAGAGAATCTGTGGATACCTTTCCAAGATGCGACATGGGATCATACGCATCCAAAAGGAAGAACCAGATTACTCCGCAATTCCCAAGAAAGAGTACGAATGGAAATACTCCTGCTACCACGGTGCCAAAGAAGTTCAGCCACACAATGCACCGGTACCTCGGGGCAAACGAGTTGTTCTCACCACCTACGAGGATGCGAACCTCTACTATGATCTCATCAGCGGACGATCAGTTACTGGAGTCCTACATCTACGAACAAAACTCCCATTGACTGGTTCAGCAAACTACAGTCAACAGTCAAGACCGCAACCTTTGGATCCGAATATGTTGCAGCCCATACCGCCACTGAGCAGATCATTGACCTCCGGAGCACGTTCAGGTACCTGGGAGTAATGGTTGACACACCGACCATGATGTTCGGAGACAATGAAACGGTAGACAACACCGTATCGATGCCTCACTCCAAGATTCTCAAAAGACACAATGCGCTTTCTTGCCACCGTACTAGGGAAGCTGTTGCTGCAAGTATCTTGAGGTTCCATCATAGCCCTGGGTCTACTAACCCTGCAGACATCCTTAGCAAGCATTGGGACAACTCATTGGTATGGCCTATGCTGAATGCACTACTGTTTTGGTCAGGAGACACCAAGGATTGCGGTAAGAAACACTCAGAGTCAACAGTCGCCACTAAGGGGAGTGAAAGCGTTACAGTTCCTCCCACGACTCAGAGTATCCGTGAGTAGATTGAGTCATGCTTCATGAGTCAACACGATGGAAACATCAACACGCAAAGAACGCTGATAAGAACACGTTCTCACCGAAACCAAAAGAAACGGCAAACTGGAGTATTCGACAGGAACAAAGCATCCTGTCACCGAACCGTTTCACGGTGACTTCCGTATGAATCAAGATCAACTACCACGATGCATTGATCTAACACGCTACAAGCAAGCTTTATTGATCGCATCAATCAAGGCTCACAACACAGATTATGAAGTACTAAGAAGCGAACCTTGTATTTTACCTTGCACTCGTCTCAAATAGCTGCAGTCGATATCGTTGGGTGGTAGCTACCTCTACGAGATCCCTCTATTGGAGTAGTATTTCCTCACGTTAGCAGAACCACTTGGAATGATGGTCCACATGCATATGCCTGTGCATGTGACTGTCTGCCAACTTATCTAGCCTGAGGGAGTGTATCAATTGCCTGGTTCTTATCCTGGTGACTTTTGATAGGTTCCATGGTTGGCACAGTTCAATTTGTAGAATCACATTCCAGTCCGACGCCAGAGAATTAATCAGGTTCAGCCTTCATAATTAAGGCAACCTGCACTCTTGTTGGTGGCTGATTCATAATCACACAGGTGGGTGTATGTGGCCCATGTTGATCTGTCATAGGACTCCGACAGATGCGACAGATGTTTGAGCAGACAGCGGGGTGATCAAACCAGTATGAAGTTGGCACCATCCCAAACACTGGTCCAGAACACTTGACAACAATCTGAACACAATAATAGCCGAAAAGAACCTAGGCAAGCGACACCTGTGGTCCTTCTTCAATATCAGCAGCACTATCGCTTGCCACCATGAAAGGAACTGCTGTTACCAATTGCATGACAGAATAGGACTTCATAAACCACTCCAATTCAGTGTAAAGAGCTCGTTCCCGGGCCTCAATTATTCCACCAAAGGTAAGTGATTTAGAAGAGACTGACCAACTGGAATGCCCGCCATGTCACCGCCGCAACCACATTCCGTAGGACGCTGATTGAATTTGCGAAACAGCTTCAGTAGCTCTGCCAGCTGCAAGTTTTCTGTGACGTCTGGAATTCAGCCTTGAAGGGTCACAACAGTCACAACTCTCTGCTTTCCAAACTATGGCGTTTCGGTTTCCTGCGAGGTTCAAGGAGGCACGTGTATGGTAAGTTTCAATCCAACATTAATTGCCGTGGGTACGCTACCATCACTGTACGGTACGGGGGCCGTTCACAATTGTTTTCAAAGTTTGTTCTGTGCTTTCCGAAATTGCATTACGGCGTTCGGTTTCCTGCGATAATGAATGAGGCACGAGGCACATGGTGCCATGCACATGCACTGTTAGTCTTTTTCGAACATTGATTGCCGGAGCGTAGCTCTAGCATCACTGCACCGGTAGGTTCAGTGTTACGAATCACACCGCAGGGCCATCGCAGTACAACACGAAGGGTCAGCCAGCTTCTGGTACGTAGTACAAGCTCTTGGGGATCGCTCAGAATGAGCTACATGCAGCTCCTGCACAGGTGTTTGGACCTTGCTTGCTTGATCTTTCACTTGTCAGCTACCTGTAAGATGCAGTTATGTTGATGGAGTGATACACCAGCTTCATAAGAATGGATTGTGGATTGAGCAGAGCAAGTTATCTCAAGGCTAAAATCGTATGACACTACGGGCTATTTCAATATTTGATCATCCAAGACTTGCTTGCCACCTTTCTATGTGCGTTAGTTGATTCGATTCGATTCGATTCGATTCAATACGCCATGCTTTGGATGCTTCTACTTGTAGATCTGCAACCTGTGGCAATGGTAGTTGTTGGTTCCAGATCTGCCTTGTATCGTTTTGCTGTCGGCCGCCTTGGAATCCGCAGCTTGGAGTTGTAAACAGAACGACAAAGGCAAAGTTTTGCGCATTTGATTGTGATCTAGGTAACCAAACTTTTAGTTTCTAATGAATGCTTGTAATTGGACAAGCCTTGAGAATGGAGGCAACGGACTATGAGGAGAGAGAGACGGGGTGTTTCGAAAGTTTCGCAACACAAAGGATCCGTAAGCCTGCTACTCATCAACCGGCAACTTATTCCGACTGCTCTGTGGTTTGGATGCTTCAACATGTGCTTGCAGATCTGCCTAGCTAGCTAGCTAGTATAAACTTTTTAGCATTCGCTGTGGCGATGGTTTCAGATCTGCGATTCGATTCGATGCAACGAATCGAATCGAATCTGTGAAAGTATTTAAGATTCTGTCTCAAATAGTTCTGCCGGCTACCGGTACAGTTAACAGCTATCTACCTGTACTACTAGTAGTACCTTGTGCAAGTAGTTTGCTCGTTACCAATATAGTGCGTGCGTGAGAGTCGAATCCCGAGCACGGTGCGACTACTAGTATCCTCTGATGCTCAGCTCTTTCATCCAGCTACTACATTGGAGCTACTAGCTACAAGCTAGCTCTAGCTAGTATCGCTGTGCAAAGTTTCATCAGGCCGTTCCCGATACCGGTATATTACCCGCGCTTGTGCGCCACCGGTACACGTACATGTACAAGGCTCCCGACTCCCGAGACAAAGCTTAATACAGCACTTGCACGGGGCTCTCTTGAATGATGGATGATCCATCGAATCATTCTTCAATCAATCGGAAACAACACCTTCCCTCAAATGACTCAAGGGAAGCACTGAAGCAACTTCTGAAATCCGGGAAGCTAGCAAAGCGGTTTGAAAATATGTTTATCCTTTGGCTAGCTAGAGAGATGTCGCAAGATCTTAATTCTTGGATGGAGAAATGTCGCAAGATCTCTCAGCGAACAGTGATTCTTCCCCAACCGGAAGGCAGGCCTGACCTGGCAGCTGTAACTGACTACTAGCTAGTCGAACCATGAGACCCACTTCAAACAGCTCTTCAAACACTCTAGATCTCGCTTTTCTATCCAGCTATCCAGGGATCGGGGGTGGTCAGGGCGTCAAAAGCAGCAAGTACGGTACACCGTGCCTAGCTAGCTCTAGAGGAGGAGCGAAGAAGTGGCATGTCCGAATTTCTCCCGTACTGTGCTCGTGTGGGGGGCGCTTTGCCAGTGGAATCATTCATCCGATGAATATTTGGTGGAAGAGAAGGTCTCGTTGCTTTTTCTCCTCTACTAGAATAGGAATAGATAGAATAATTTTTAGTCTCGTTGTTGTCTACCGGTACCGTATTTACCGTGCTCTTACTACATGTTGTAGCTACCGTAGTGTAGATGTCGCAAGATCTCTTGAGTGCTTTTAGAGATGTCGCAAGATCTCTTGAATGGTTTTAGGGATGTCGCAAGATCTCATAGAACAAGAATACTCAAGGCCAGAACCCTGATTCAGAATGGCCACGCAAATTCAGCTAAAGTACCTTTTCCCAATGTAGGGGTTATTATCACGTGGAAAGGTGGAAAGGTGGAAAGATGGTTTTCAGTAATAAGGTATACTCCAAACTCGAACATAAGAAACTTCACAACTAAGCGAGCCCTGAGATTTAGCAAATGTTAAGAAATTCTTTGTACTGCAATATCACAGACTTGTAAGAAATTTTCCCAGTATTGAGAACTCAAAGCCTTAGAAATACTACTAGTCTGACACAATGAAATTGCTTCAAACTTGGGCCTAAATCTGCAAAATTTTCTGAAAGTGATGTCCACCTCTATTTGATCCAACCCAATTTTCGAGTCCTGAGCAAGTTGGACCAAAAGGCCCAGGTGCACTGGGTGTACAGTATCCAAGTACTGCTCTGCTTGACCTAGAAGCATAGTAAGAAAGTCTTCTATGCAGAAATTGGCTTGTTTTGTTAGAAACAATCTGAGGGGCCAAAATGGTGCTGCAGGGTAAGAAAGGCCCAGGGCTGCACTGAATTTAGAGATTGCTTATATGTAAGTTTGGAGTGTATTGCCTGAGAGGCTGATTGGCTGAGAGGGGAGCTCCAAAGTGCTCCAAGCACGGCCATGCTGGCACAGGAGCGTTGGAACGACACTCCAAACGTTTCTCTACTCCAGACTAACGCTGATGAGTTTTTGACCCCAGTAAGAACAAAAACAAACATTCACAGTACCAGGTACTGTACCGTACACTTACTGTACCAGTAATTCAGTACTCTGAGTATCCAATAGTTCCCTCTCCCTAGCAGAAAGCACCAGACTGTAACTTGTACAGTCCAGCCGGGATGGCAACTGGTTTCTAATACTTTCTCAAACGAAAAATGTCTATGATACTAGTTTCTGAGTAGTTGTAGTTGTAGATTGCATCTGCCGCTCTGCCGCTGTCGCTTCTTTGTCAATCAGTTGCACTACTATCTCTGACGTTTGGTGAAGACAGCTTTGATCGTCAAGGTAGATGCGGTAATCCTATTTGTTGTATAAATAAAAGTACTCATTAAATCTAACTTTACCGGAACTACCTTCGTACCCGCGATCTTCCTGGTGTCTAATTCTGACACTCGTCCCACTTGTCGCAAGAAGTCTACGTATTTCTGCACGGTAAACAGTTTGAAGCTTCTTTGGTTGCCAAGTTTCCAACGCTATGATAAAGAAAACCACCTGCGCTTTCTACTGCGGTAGTACAGTATGGCATACTGTACCGAACCCCTTCCGCCTCTATCGTCTAAAACACTGCCACAACTATGCATTCGCAACAAACCTTATTAAAGGAACTGTCTTCATTTCATACAATGCTGCAATCTACCAGTCCCCCCCTGTCCGTCTCTGCCCATTCGATTGATTGAAACATTCAGACCATATTTTGTGGTATCTCGCCCCTCCTCGAGCATGCACCATGGAGAAGGATGGCTCAGGAGGGCGCGACAAAAAGAAGGACGACGCAAAGAAAGATGACAAAAAGAAGGATGAAGCAAAGCCCTCCAAGTCTGAAAAAGACAAAAAGAAAGACTTGTCAGGGATAGATCACCCCGGCAAAAATGGTATGTGAGGGGAGCTGTGCTACATGCTTGGATCGTCGGAGACCAGCGATATGCTCCCTGAATACCCTCTAATCTCCCCTTTCTTCCTACTCTATGGTCCCTCGAAACAGATGTAATGTTCGGTGAGTGGTTCCTTGCATGTGCGTGTGTTTTTGTGTATCTTGGTCGTGAACGGCGGGCTCACCGAATGATTCGACTCGATATCGCCATTGCATGATCAGGCAGAGGAGGGGATACGGTAGGTGCCTTCGAGGCTATCCCATTGTCCGTCCGCGGCGCATTAGGCGCGTCACTAACTTGCAGGTTGTCCTCTTACAGAACTACCATGTTGGCAATCACGGGTTTCGGACGCTAGCAGAAGGTTACACGCAGAGGTACCATGAGGCGTCGAGAAAGGAGAAGGCTTTGATAGTTCAGGAACTAGTGAATAGTTGGCGAAACAGAGACCCACCTGGGCGCTTCCTCGCTCGAACGGACCCGCATTTGGGGGATGCAAGCTTATGGCATGATGTGGGGACGGACGCAGCCCTGAAGAAGGCAGCCAAGATCCTCAGTGAACTGTCAAGTGAAATCAGGGCAGAGAAGAAGCGGAAAGCAAAGGCAGCAGCGGCACTCCCGCCCCAAAAGAAACCGCCCCCTAACCAATCCCAACATCCGCGTACTAGCCAGCAACAGCGCCAGGATCTTAAGCAGCCGGCGTACAATCAAGTCGCAGTCTCAGCGGTGGCAGCGGCAGCAGTCGCAGCGGGCGGTGCAGCCGCAGCACCGCTTGTCGGTCTAGGCGCCGTCTTGGGCCAGGAAGATGCCTTCTCCTTTCCAGCGCTGGCATCGGGGCAGCATCCGGGCGACGGTCTTTTTGACTTCCAGGGACACCAGCCAGACGGCGACGATGATGATGACCGCAAGATGCCAGCCGTACCCACCGGTGACTTGGCTGGTGCTCTGGACTCCACTGCTCGTCAGGACGTTGGCACCGAGACTCCTGCAGGCAACAGCAATCGAGGTGGTGGAGTGGAACTAGCCCCAGGCGAACAGCGTCGAGAAGGTGCAGAGGATGACAGCCCTGAATCCATTGAAAAAGATTCAACGGAAGAAAGAGGCGAAAACTACCCAAGTGCAGCTTCGCTTGCTGGCGTCTTCAGTGGTTCTTCTGGGAGTAGCAGTCTGCCTACCAATAAGAGCGACTCTTCCGACGATACCCCTCCCGAAAGAATCGCATGAGAAGCATTTGGAACAATGATTGCCGATAAGCTTTTCTGGTGTCCAGCGGCTTTAACTGATTGCCGGTCTGCACATACCTGGCTACCACTGGTGTCTTGGAGATACACTGGGACGGCAAGGTTCGAATGACAACAATCTACCGTCGAACAAGAAGCACACGGGGGGTGCAGGTGTCTTGCTCGCGAGACTTAGCTATTGGCGCCAGTGGCGGCGACTTTGTGAAGGAACAGATGAATGAAATATCGGTTATGTAATGAGTATAAACATGTACAGATTAATAGCCCAAAGCAGCTAGGAACCGATCCCACACCTTGCCGAGCAATCGACTAATCAAGAAAGCCGGAAATGCTCGTCTAAGACGTAAGCCATCGGCACTCCTGTTTCATTTGAGACAACAGCAACCGTCTTGTTTTCATCCAATGCAAACAAGTGGTGCCCTCGCCCGCTTAATTCTGTCGCGTTCAGCAGTTGGAAGGTTCTTTCATGCCACTGCTGAAGCTGCACTTTGTCCTTGCCAAGGTTTCGGATACTCCTTGCAACCCCTTTGCTGAAGGCGATATCAAGGACACGATTCGAGAGTGTGACATTCAAGCGTTTCAGAGTCCTTGCGTTGTGGACGACCCCCGAACCAAGCACTGCACGGTGCCCAGCTGGGTCCACTCGAATCGGGTGTTCAAACCCCGAGTTGTTGTTCAGGTAGGAATCCACCCGTATTCCGATTGTCCCGTTGAAAAAGATGTGTTCCGTCATGAGGTCCGTTGGGTTTGCCTGTCTGAAGAAGTACATCTTGCGGTTGACTTCCGACCACACATATTCCTTGTCCACATGATTCCAATCAACCGCAGAAACCACGGTTCCGTTGCTGAGGAACGTGTAGTGGGTGGCAAAGGCACCTGCGTCGTCGCAGACAAAAATGTACTTGCCAGCGGTGGACAGGCCGAAGGGAGCTGCTGGCAGCTTGGCAATGTGCACTTCAGTTCTGTTCTGTCCTCCAAGATCAATTTTGCTCAGAACGCCGTCTTCCCGCAGGAGATATACCTCGTGATTGATGCTGGAGTATGCAATGAACTTCGGAATCTCTTCAAGCTTGATAGAATCGAGGTAACTCTTCTCTTTCGGCTCCATAACAAAGATGCTTGCATGTCCTTTGCTGAACATGTATAGCAAGCTGTCCTTATCAACAAAGGGTGAAGCTGGTGTGAAGGGGATCCCAGAAGGCTGGATATGCCGTCCAGGCAACGACGGATTCAGCAGACCGAGGTAGTGTGCATCGACTCGAATGCCGTTATCTGCGACTAGATCGTAAGTAAAAGTAAGAACCTCTCCATTATTGACCGCAATGTTCGAAGGTGCAAAGTCCAGAGTCAACGATCCCCTCGAAACCAGCTCTTGAGAAATCGAGGAAAGGCTCCCATTCTTATGGAGGGCGACCATAACTTCGCCCCCCAACCATGCGATGTCGAGTATCTTGGGTGTGTCTACTGTGTAGACGTGCTCGGCGTTGTTCGTCACGGAGAATACGAATCCATGATCGTCAATAACTCGCGTTTGATCTGGGAAGATCCAAGTCTTGGAGGCAGTGCCGACATCCACATTTTCGCCGATTTCCGATAGTTTCTCGCTGACGAAACGACCTTGTGCGTCGTATTCTTTGAACCACAATTCTGATGGCCTGATCACATCGCCTGACACTGGGGCAAGCTCAACAGGTGTCCGCCCGAACAATCGGCGGCGGCGAGAAGAGAGAGAAGCCCCCAATACGAGCTCATTGTAGGAAAAGACGTTCTTGACCATATTGTTTGTTCTTCGATTGACACTGATGAGGTGTTGGCCAGCATTGATGATCACAATGTCATTATCATCAAAGAGAAATTCTCGGATGTTTGAGTCAATTTCGCCTGCGTCGGCAGCAATTCGGGTTTCATTGGCTCCGTCGAAACTGAAGCGATAAGCTTGGGCTCCAAAACCAACGTAAATCTGCAGAGAATCGTCAATCCCCATGGCACTGGGAGGTCCGTGGCTGGTTGGCAACAAGACGGGAAGGAGGAATTGTCGCGAGGACAAATTATAGCGTTCGATTCGAGGAGGCACAGAATCAAACAAGAAAAATGCGTATTCTTCTCCCGCTACTGCTCTGATCCATGCGTGTGGTTGCAATGAGCTAGAAGGAACACTCTCTGATGGATGACCCGTCGATTCAGTATCGTTTAGCTCGAGGAGAGAAGTGTTAACCCAAGCAGAAGAATTTGAACTGGAGTTTGTCATTGCTTCTGCTTTGGTTGCGTTCTCAACAGGTTCTGCAAGCGACAGATTGCCCAATGGTAGTGGAGTGATGGCTGCTGGAGCGTAGGTGACAGTCGCATTTGAGGAACTATCCAAAACTAATTGGACAGTCGACTCATTGGTCCCAGAAGGTGTTTGCGTTGGTACTCCAGTTGCCAGATTGCCTTCAAGTGGTACATCAATGTAAAGTCCACCCGTGTACTGCCACACTTGCGTTTGCGTGTCTTGGAAAGTTGTGCCAAACACAACTGTTCTACCGTCATCTGATATGCCGACCGATGTTCCCTCGATGCTATGTTCAGACTTTGGTCCTTGGATGTCGCCACCCACCTTCACCCACTTTTGCTGAGGCCCATCCAGAGAGTACACCCTGGCTACTTGGTTGAAACTGTGGTACCCAGTAATGGCCACCATTGATCCAAAGTAAGACATCGAAACATCATTCGCGCAACGCCCATCTAAATTGCATTCCAAGTCCTGCCCAAGTTGTTTCCACCCTTTTCCATTGAACCAGAAAGCTCGAGCATACGCAGGGCTTCCCCCAGGATCTCCAACAAGTAATGCCGAACCATCATAGGCCATTGCAACAGAAGCACCAAATTTGTCCTCCCGTTTCGAAGAACCAGCAGTGATGGGGCTTCCTAGCCTAATCCACATCTTCTTATCACTTTCGTAGTGCCACACTGTCACGAGCCCAAGCCGGCCGATACGAAGAGACCCAAGTGCAAAGGACTTCCCGTCTCCCGAAAAGGCGAATCCCGATGACGTCCAAAACGATTCAAGCCTGATGTCCTGTCCAAGTTGGACCCAGTTGCCATTTGCCTCCAGAACCTCGTTGTATTCATAAATCCTCACATATGGCTCGTTTCTTCCAAACTGGCCAGTAGCAACCACAGCGAGTCGCGTTCCAAGGCTGTCAAGCTCCACTTTTGTGGCAAAGGCATCGTTTATCCCCTTTCCGGTTATCGGATGCCCTTTGGGAATCCAGCGAGATGACGATTGATGGTGCTGCCACACCTGCACACGGCCAAACTCGTATCTACCAACATCTGCAGGACCATTTGCCCAGTTGTTGCTGGCCACAGCAACAATTCGTCCGTTGCTCGACAGAGAGGATGCAGTTGCTTTGACCTTGGTGATTCTGTCGTCAGGATCCCAACCAGTAGGATCCAAGTTTGCAGAGATCATGTTACCGAATGGATACCACAACCTTTTTGCTTCATCGTGCTCCATGACTAGCACGGATTCTTTTCCAATCAGGGATATGACTCTTCCGTTTCCGGCAACCGATAAATAGTCCCGAGAATCAGGAAAAGGTCCCAAAATCAGTTCTCCCTCTTGAAGCCAATCCAAAACTTTTTCTGTAGATGGAGCTTCGGTTGGTGCGACAGTCTCTTCTTCAATTGCAGGCGGAGACCTTCCAAGGATTACAGAAATGTCAACAAGAGCAACAAAGAAGATCACGAAAAGGATGCCAACTCCCAAGTGTCCACTGTATAGGTGGTGTTTTGCAGTCTCAACCGATGCCGGCGATGCTTCCTGTGTCTTCTGACCAGCGAGCAATCTACGACCGGGGATCAAGTAGAGGACCGCCGCCACCATCATCCAGACAATAATGCCTAGAATGAGCACAAGGCCACCAATCCCAATTTCACAGGATCCTTCAAGGCAAACATTTGAGCCCAGGACAATGAAGGAGAGCCCGTACAACAACGGCATGATCAAGGAAGCAAATGCCAACATCTGGAAAATGACGGCATCGTAGGAGACGCACGAAATAGTGCAAATGAAGCCTACAAAGAACAGCCCCAAGAAGGTTGCGGTCACGGACATGAACCGCGCGGCATGCCACACATGGTCGTAGAGTTGTGCTGAGGCATCTGGGTCATCAAACCAGTAAAGGCACTTGGACGTTGAGGTCTCGGGGGAAATCGTCTCAAACTGAACCAATCCAACATCACGTTGGGCCAAGGCAAAGAAGCCTGGAGCCTCCTCGGAACCCTCTACAACCAGGAAATCGCACCGGTCGGTAGACACTCCACAAAGAACAAAGGCCAGGAAGGAGAGAAGAACTGCAGCCAATTCATATTTTCCGCAGGGATGCGAGCATCCTCGAAAGCCTGCTGCTGGAGGTTGATGTTGTTTCTCGTCAACAACATCCGAAACTTCGGTCGATTCTTCATCAATGACGCACTTGCTTGTATTGTCCATGTTCGTCTCGATATCACTGCCATACGTGTAGCGACTGCGGCTGTTGTACTTGTCCCGGACAAGCTCTCGAGACATTTCCTTCAGTGTCCGTTCTTGTTTTCGTAGAAAGGACTGTCGAGCTGATACGCTTCCGATGGATGAGATGGCAGTGGCTGCATCAGCTCCTGGTGGATCCGACCTTTCGTCATCCGACCGGTCGTAGTCGTCGTTTCGAAAGAACGCTCTTGGACTGACAGCTTCCTCGTCTTCCTCGTCCGTTTCTTCAGGTTCTTCTACTTCTTCTGCTTCTGTGTCGTTGTTTTCTTCTTCTTCTTGTAGCTCGTCCTCAGAGTCATGTTCCTTCTCCTCCTGCTCGTCGTCGTCCCCCTGTACAGTATCATAATCGTTCTCGTTTTCGCTCTCGCTCAGCGCATTGTCATCCTCGACAACAATCACTTCGCCTACTGCCTCACATGCTTTTGGTTCTTCATCGTTTGGTTCCTCCTCCTCACTGTCATCATCATCATCATCATCATCGTCATGCGATACTTCCTCGATTAGAGACATGAACGTGTCGGCGTTTTCAATATCCGGTGGAGGATCAGCAGGCACTGGTGTCATTTCATCCTCTGGAAATGGTTGTTGGACAGGTATTTCTGCCAGGGTTTGTCCACCCAGGGCCACCTCGACCATATCCTCTTCTTCCTCATCGTCCAAGCTCACTCCGGAAAGGATCCTTCGATTGGTGGTGGTGGCGGCAGAGTCCATTGTTTTCATCACTAATAATCCGACTACGAGTTAGTTAGCTAGCTAGCTAGACGAGCGCAACACTTGCAATTGTTGTTCTTGCGCTGCTCCACAATGTCTTGGGTGGTACCGTACTGTGGTGTTGTGGCTCGGTGCTTGTAGAGTTGTTGTGAGCTTCAAAAAGGCAAACCCAACGACTTGTTGGGGGACAAAAATTGTCCTCCAACGTCGGGGCTTCACTCCTGGGAGCATGCTCTCTTTCAAGAGTGGACCCTCAGTTGCTCCAGTCTTCGTAAATGACCATCACTGGCATTCACGACCAAAACGACATCTTTCGTTCTGGTGGTCGCGTCAAGATCAAGCCGACGATCGAAGGAGGGGGTTTCTCACCACAATCTGTGCGCGTCAATAAGATAGACAATGCCACCATCCAGAACCCGAAGTAACAATAGTGGCAGCAACGGCAATGTGGCGACGGGCAAGAATTTGGTCCGAGCCATGCTGTTGCTGGGAGTGGCATCGCTAGCGATCAACTTTCGCTATTACTCTAAAATCCGAGGCGCCATTGTGGGACCTTCCGACGAATCGTTCGATAGCAGCGACAGTAGTAGTACTGTGATTGGTGGTGGTGGTAGCAGCCTCATTAGCAAAGGCATGGGAATGTCTGTGTTGTCCTCTTCTGTCCGAAAAAGTGAAAATGCTGACACGAAGGGCCATCGAAAAGGCAAAAAGCCAAAAAAGACGTTTGATGGGGAGCTCGCGGGAGGCCAACTGATCAAAAAGGACAAGAAGGGAAATACTGTGGTAAAGGTCATTACGGCTCTCAATAAAGAGGATTTGGGTGATGCTGCTGGAGACGATGACAATACACAAGGCGACATGACACTGGAAGAAGCGATCAAGGGAAGAGAACCGATCATTCGAGTGTTGAAGGAAGCTGGCATTCAGGATTTTGATGCCGCCACGGTCGCCAAATTACCCATGTGGGAACAGGTGGAAAAACTCTATGGCAAAGGACCCGTCGTCTATGGCTTGGATACCTGCGAAGCATTTCGAAACAGTGTCCCACCCGAAGACGCCTCCTTGGCATCCTCGGGAATATTCAATTCTGGAACAAACACACTCGCCATGTACATGAATGCCAATTGTATCATGCCAGAAAACAAAAAAGAAAGATACGGAGGTATGAGATGGCAAGTGCCATGGGGAAAACACATGGTAGCCAAACGAAAATGGACCAACACTGTCAAGTCGGATCGAAAAGTCAACAAAACCACAGTCATGCCCATTGTGGCCATTCGAGATCCCTACAGTTGGATGCAGAGTTTGTGCCGACATCCATATGGTAAGTTTCGGAATGTTGAATTTCAACTTGGTCGATTACACGTAGTATTGTCGAATCCAACTGACTAAATTGGTTTCTTCCGACCCATCATCAGCCACCAAATGGCACCATACGGCCAAACATTGTCCCAACTTGGTCCCCAATCAGGACGATCTCGATCTCTTCCCCTATCTCGAAAACACCGTTCCCGCTCGAATCGATTATCCCGAACGGGCAGAACATTGGGATTCCTTGGTGCATCTGTACAACGATTGGTACGGTCAATACTTTCGGGCCGATTATCCAAGGCTCATGGTACGATTTGAAGATTTGCTGTTCAACGTCCATGAAATGGTCGAAACAGTATGTACGTGTGTGGGAGGGGTACCCAGAGAAAAACAGTTTGCCTACGTCGTCGATTCAGGAAAGTTCGGTCCGGGTCATCCCGAAAAAGGTGCCTCGCAACACACCAACTTGATTGGTGCCATGGTCAAGTACGGGACGGACAAATTGCGGTTCAAGGGCATGACAGACGAGGACCTCTTGTTTGCTCATGAAAACTTGGATCCAGAGTTGATGGCGGCATTTCAGTACGAAGTGCCTCCACCGCCATAGACTGATGACAAGTAGTACAAGCAAGAGAGAAGGCAACAACGCAAGCCATCAATCTATCTGCCACTGTACGACTAGTAGCACTACTACACATCTACAATCCACAACTGGGCAGTCTCCGTCTTTCCACGGACTCGATTCTTTCAATCAATTAAGCCTCTGACAACTCTGCTCTCTTTTCCTGGAGAGCCAGCACACAACTCTGCTATCCTCACGATTTTGAACTTCTTCAGTCTACACTAGCACAACATTCTACTAGTATATTCGATTAGGACTTGTTGGGTCGAGGTACCATTCAAAGGACCGTGCGCTGGAGAGAACCTGCTTGCGTAAGCAGAACAATTGGAGCCTGGATATCCTGCTTGACCAGAGCGTGACCCTGGCCAACACTTATTTCTGCAGGTTGTCATTCCTATGTATTTCCGATGCGATGCCCCTCATGGCAAATAGTCCGAGGCGGAACAATTCCTCCAGTCTTGAACTTCCATGATTTGATACCCTGAATGAGTGTGGTTTTTCATTTCATCGAGATAGCACTGGAGGTATGGACATCGATTGCTCCAGCTCAAGTAAAATGCATAGCCACACGTCAGTAATGGGTCCCTCCCATACACGGCGATCCCATTGATGTATGCTCCCCAGCACCAGGCCATGGTTAATCTACTCCACCAAACATCTAAATTGCAGTGCATCCCAAGAAGCCATCCTGCAAACCAATGATGAAAATGAAAGTAGGGGCTGGACATGGGTGGCAGCAAGAATATCAGAATGCAGAGTGTTATTTCAAAGACCTTGATGCCCACAATCTCTTGTTGTATAATGGTTCGAACATGCAAAATGCCCAAGGCACTGCAAAGCGTGACCAGGCCAACGACAAAGGCCCAAAGTTCCCAGGGCCAGAGACAATGAATGGAATACAAAGTGAAGGAATGCTGCAAAAAGGGAAAGTAGGTTTCCATAGACGCAAAGAGACCACTGGCAATCATTGTGCTGATCCATGCAATGTGGTCAATTCCTCGTTGTTTGTACAATCGCCCCACCACAAAAAAGAACATGGTATCTACCATGATGGGATTGGATTCATGTAGAATCATGTCTGGAATGGTATAATTGTGATCATTTTCAAGGTCCTGTTTGAAAAAGGAAGAAAGAAAATCACTAGGAATGTGAGACCGCAATCCAATTATCTGCAGTCTCCAGTTTTTTGTTGTTGTTGAATGATTGTACGTACCATCCATCTGACAAAATAGTACATTGCAATAAGAGCCACCCAGGTGATGACATTGAATTTGAAGCATCGAACTGCTTGCACCCCATCAAATAATGTTGCGCCACAGCAGTCAAATCGATCATCGGGAAACATCGGAGTGAATAGGATTCGCTGGCAACACCAAGGAGACGATGATGATGACGATGAAGACGGCGTGAGTCCTTGTTCCAACTCAAAGGCCTCCATGTTAGAAGCCGCATCCTTGCGGAATTCTTCCTCAGCATCATCCTCGTCGTTCTCATCATCATCGTGAGTATCCACAGTAGTGGAGTTCACCAAACCATATTCTCCTCTTGAGGCGTCACCTCGGTCCTTTCTTTGCAGAAACAGGGAATCATGAGGTCGATCCATTTTTTTGGGTATCTATCTTGACAATCAGTATTAGCAAGCTGGCTAGAGACGACCCTCACCACGAAATCTGTTGGATATCACTCTTGTGGGCGGTGGGACATATGCATGTGCCACAGCGAGAAATCTCAAAACCCGCTATCATCCAGTGACTATAATAAATAACTTGTAGTGCGAGGGACTTCGGTTGCGTGAATTGGGCTGAGTAATAGTACTAGTACTACTGTACGTACTACCAGTACTCTAGACTAGTAGAGTCTAACAGTTGATGGTGCTTGGGCCCGGTGGCAGTGCGTCAGTTTGGAATTCTATCGAATACAGGACTAATTAATCCGTGACTTATTTGTTAGGGGATGCGTTCATGCTGGGTGCAAGCCCGTGCCGAGCAATAATACAAGATCACACAAGATTCGATGCGATTGATCATTCATGCTTGATTGCCACCCCACGGTTCACCTGCCTGCACACCACGAGTTGTACTACTAGCTAGTAGTACCGGTAGGTGCACGGGTCCACCCCAGGACAAGAATGACAAGAGACCTTGTGAGGAACAGATTGCCGAGGAATGGCGTAAAGGTGTATGTCAGCTCTTAGTTATCGATTGTATCTCCAACAAACAACAGAGACGTGACGCCATACAATACAACGCCATACCCTACAGAATACAATCATCTTTCAGCGCCATTATGTCATTGACATCCAGAGAAGTGGCCATTGCCATTGTACCCAAAATCACGGGCGGCCTCTCCATAGCTGGTTCCGGATGGATATCATGCCAAATCCTTGCAGACCCCAAGAAACGACACAAGACGTACCATCGACTGGTACTGCTAATGAGTCTCTGCGATCTCGTGTCCTCCTTTTCGTACTTTCTCAGCACTTGGCCCATACCACAGGGCGTCAATCAAGGTTGGAAGAGTCCCTATCACTTCCATGCCGTCGGGAATGCCGCAACATGCACGGCACAAGGGTTTGGGATTCAGTTAGGAGTTACCACAGCATTCTTCAACATTATGCTGGCGCTGCACTATCTGTTGGTCATTAAATACAACTATACCGAGTCGTTTCTACAAAAGAAGGAACGATACATGTGGGCAATCGCCCTGACTTTGGGTCTGGCACTTTCCGTCCCAGGACTGTTCTTGCAAATGTACGGCAACACCAATCTATGGTGCTGGATTTCTCCCAGCTGGGACTTGTGCGACCAGCTTGGCATGACCAAGGATCAATGCGTTTCTCGTGCCTACAACTACCGCTGGGCATTCTACTACGCTCCTCTTTGGACCTGCATCTTTCTCATCACACTGTCACAGCTCTGTCTGTGGTGGACGGTACGTCAAATGGAAGTCAAGGCTTCCAGATGGCGATTCACTTCCAAGCAAAGCAAGGCACGGCGATTGCAACAGTCGCGCCGAGTGGCCATTCAAGCAGCTTGGTACATGGCCGGCTTTATCGTCACCTGGCTACCGTACACGGCCATTGCCATGACGGGCAAATTCTTCAATCCACACGACACTACCGGCTTTATCGTTCTCCTGACCGTTGTGATTTGTCAACCAAGTCAAGGACTGATCAATGTCTTTGTGTATCATCGTCAGTCGTTGGCAAGGGCGTCCTCCCGGGCGGTTGGTTCTGTAGGGGAGAGTGTCAAGAATATAGTCCAGCTAGCCAGTCATCAAAGCCGCAAGAGCTGGACATCTGCGGCGCTGCAACAAAATCAGCAACAACAAACTTTGGACCAAATACGGAACGAATTGCAAGACGTGAAATTGACCATCACAGAACCACGATTATTTGCGGATGAAGAAGAGCCCACAAACAGCGTCACAGAGGAAGGAGAAAAAGGAGACGAAGTTGGAGACTCCAGTACTGATCTCATTGAAATCTACGACTAAGCTACCATAGCTGCGTGACACAAACTGATCATTCTTTTGGAGGGGAGGAACGAAGGGGGAACAAACAAGAGATTCGCTGGATACTATTTCCAAGAGACAACCGTTGGCGCTCATTATGAAGAAAAGAGGCGCCATTTGGTCGATACAAGGGATTGCTTATTGTCGCGTCAAGCTTATGAACCTACCGTACCGGTCAGGTACACCATGGCAAACCCAATATCCTTGGCTCAAGCCAGCATCCCAGCGATCTATCATGTCCACTTCTGCGGGTACAGCGACAGTGTTTATGCAAAAGTGAATAATAAAGTTATGTGACATCAATCCCAAACCACGCAAACAGAGAAACAGCATGGTGAGGCTAGCTACCGGTACCAGTAGTTAATCAGTCTTTGGAAGCCTTCAAAGTAAATTTTTCCTTTCCCTCACAGCAACACTTCTGGAAAACGTCTTGGCAATCGGCGCAAATTTCCTTGGTGCAGCATGGGCAAGCATAGACTTTGCTGCAGTCTACGCAGGTGACTGTTTCACATTCAGCGCATTGAAACAGCTTCGTTTTTGCGCAGATAGTCTTGTCACACTCGTCACATTGATAAGGATCCCCATAATGCTCCCAGCAGTGGCGTTCCTTGCAAGCACCACACCAAAACGACTTCTTGCATTGGCGACAAAACGTTTCTGAACAGGTTTTGCAGCGGTAGGCATCCTTACAGTCAAAACAGAACGTACTCTCACATCTCCCACAGGAAAAAGAATGTCCAATGGCGCAATCACTGCAACCCAGCTCCTCGTCACACTTTTGGCACCAGGAAATCTTTTTACAGTCAACGCACCAACAACTGTCACACCCATCACAATACTCCACCAAGGGGCAAAATTTCACTCGGCAGTAATTCGAGTTACATCCCTCACAGAAGCCCATTTCCAACTTATCGCAGTAGTGACAGCATTTTCCCTTACAACTGTTGCAGCAATCGATTTCCTCTTCATGGGCAAAGGTATTGCACTCAGGGCAGCGGTCGTAACCAAACTCTCTCTCCACACAGTCTTCGCATTCTACAGCGCCCTTGTCGGCATCATTTTTGGTGACGCCGCGATTGTCATTGTCTTTGTCTTCCACGTCTTGTTCTTCGATGTGTTCTTGACGGCGTTCTACCTGGGATTCCAGCTTGCTGCCGTGTTCCTCGCAGTAGTACTTCTCCAAATGAAAATGAGTCTTGAGGCCCTCCACGGCCAGACACTTCATCATGAAGAACAACACTTCGTGAGAGATAGCATTGCTTGTGGAAGCAGCCACGGAGAACTTACGTTGAGGATGTCTTTGAGTTCCAAGAAGCCGATCACTTGCTTGGCCATTACGTGAGAGGAGAGCCCTGATGAGAGGAGGACGCTTCCATTGGTGGCGGAAGAGAGTTGATCCGTCATTGTTGCCGTCTTGCTGGGATTGATGGAATCGATCGACGGCAGCTTTGGATTTGGATTGTGAGAGAGGCGAGACAAGCACAAAAAGATCCTTCGCGTCAAAGGAGAACACTTGAGTCCTGGGTACATTCGTGACTTACTTGAACCATGTACCGGTAGGGATGCATCTTCCGATCGTGGAAGCCTTGATACGAAGGGAGCTACCGGCCAGCCAGATGCTTCCATACTAGGTTAACGTACCGTAGAAGTAGAGGTTGACGGATGTGGTGTGAGATTCCATCAAAGCAATGAGATGCCTGAGCATGGCCCAATGAATCCGATTTGCTGTTGATTGCGCCCAGCCGGAGCTTCGATGGTAAACATAAAGGGTACCAGTACCGTACCCGTAGCGAGAAAGCTACCCTTCCTCTTCTGACCTTCCAGTAGTTATAGCTTTCAGCAGCCATCTTGACGGATAGATTCAATTAAATCGAATCGTTCTTTTCGCTTCTGCGCCTATTGGTTACGGTAGACTTGAAAGTACAGTGTATGTTCTTTTTGTGCGTGGGGTGTGGAGACAAGCGAGATTCCACGGCGTGTGAATGGCGTATCCACGATGATCGATTTCTAATCAGCTCGGCTGGCTTCATCTACAGGCACAGGTAGCCTGGCTATTGGTATCAACAACATACATGCAGTCGAAATGGAGCATTGAGAAAGCTGGAGTCCAGTTCCATTGGTTTGCATTGGAGCTCAATGAAAGAAGAAAGAGGCCACGACCAACAGAAGAAGAAAAGCAATGAGTGAGAAGAAGTTTCAAAAGTGGTGTCAACAGCCTGGTTGCTCCAAAATTGCCCAAGGAAGCAGTCAGTTTTGTGTCGCGCACGGAGGCGGCAAGAGATGCAAACGAGAGGGTTGCAAGAAAGTTGCCATTGGATCCACAGAGTTTTGTGTTACCCATGGAGGCGGGAAAACTTGTGTGCACGAGAATTGTATCAAAATTGCTCAAGGAGGGACCGACTACTGCATGGCCCATGGTGGCGGCAAACGATGTGAAATTCCCGATTGTACCAAGGGAGCTGTTGGTGGAACCAATCTCTGTGCTGCCCATGGTGGTGGAAAACGATGTGAATATACAGAATGCAGAAAAATTGCTCAAGGAGGAACCGATTATTGTGTAAGCCACGGCGGAGGGGTTCGCTGTAGTTTCCCTGATTGTGATAAAAGTGCGGTTGGTTCGACCGATCTTTGCATTGGCCATGGGGGAGGGAAACGCTGTCAACAACCAGGCTGCGATAGGGGTGCACAAGGAGGCGGAGGTTTCTGTCGGAAACACGCTCCTACCTGTCTGGGAAATGATTGCAAAGTCAAGGCGGTGTCAAAAAGTGGCTTTTGTCCAAATTGCAATCGCAAGCGTAAGAGGACAGACATGGTCTAGCTAGTCTGTATTGTGGGAATGATCTTTGTCAGCACTTCAGCAGGATTGTGTGTTATCTTCTATTAATAGAGTATCAACCGGGCGGGAGTAGCTTAGCTACAGTAGCAAAGAGATTGTGGCTTGGGTTGGTCAAGCATTCGGCAGGTTGCTTCGCTATTGTCATTTTTCAAAACTGTGTGCAACCCCATTGGAACCATCAGCAATCACGTTCCATCCACTCGGAAGATACTCCAGATTACTGCATTTGTAGATTGTTCAGATCATGCTCCTCATCTGCTGCCTGGAAGAAACCAAGGAATTCTGACTCGACTCATGCACGGTTTCATGTACCGATAAAACGTTCCCTAAACAACAAAAAACTCTTCAGCTCATCATCTGTTTTCCAAAATGGACTCTAGTTTGGCCGCGATTTCTTCTCCCCAGCGTTTGTATCCTGCTGCATTGGGATGAAGAAAGTCGGACCTGACAAAGGATGTAATCATTGAAAGCAGGGGTTGAGAGAACACGAACGATTCCATTCTAAACAATATCATAAACACAAATTCAACAGAGCAGACCAAACCACTCACATGAGACTCTGTTCAATCCGTAATTCCTTTTCGGGTGCTGTCGCATTTCGGAAAAAGACATTGGTGTTGAAATATTCCACTTCCGGGCCTCGTTTTTGCGCGTATCGTTCCAATTCTCGATTGATGATTGTAATGGTGGGCCACAATATGGGAACTTTACGATCCGTGCTGTGCATCAAGAACCCCTTGTGTTTGTCAAATGTCCGGGGCAACAATCCATGAATGACAACGGTAGCCGATGGTTGATGCAGTTTGATTTCTTCGACCACACGAATCACTCCCAAAATGACAATATCCGCAGAGCACCCCTTGTTTCCCAAATCGTTGGTCCCAATCAAGACCCAGTACACCAAGGGACGTTTGGTCCGATCCTCTGGTTCGCCGCCCGTGGGCAATTCCCCATGTTGCATGCGCCATAGTAATTCGGAAGTGACATCTCCCGCAATGCCCAAATTGAGGCCCTCAAATTTGGCACCATGTGCCGTGGAAAAGTACGATTGAAACACGGCGGGAGATCCCTGTACTCGTACATCGGGTTTGCCTTTGAAGGTTCCACTCCAGCCTTCGGTAATGGAATCCCCTAGAAAGATGACATCCAGGGATTCCAGATCCGCTGATTCTAGAGCTTTCATATTGGCATGGTGCGTCTATTTTGTGGATTGTTGTGATTTGTTGTTTTGTGTGTATTGTTGAAATATTATGATGATGATTGATAGTTGTGCAATCCAGAAGAAGAAAAAGTGAAGAAATGAAAAGAAATTAGGAAAAACAAGAAAAATAGATAGAGTAGCACAGATAGATGATGATATCACGTACTTTCTCCCAGTCGTCATCTTCGGGTCTGCCCTCTGGATGCAAGGGATTGCGACATGGACATGCATCATGATCATCCTGCAAAGGAAGAATTGAAGTGAAAGAAAAATAAATCATAATGAGCCAAAACCAAAGAGATTGATCAAATGGTGAATAATTCCTTCTTTTCTTTTTCAATCCATGTTGACACTGACCTTTTCCAAATTTTTGTGACTGTTGTGATTATTATTGTTGCTGTTGCTGTTGCTGTTTGCATGATGATGATGATGGTCCGATGCTGCAGTTACCAAACACCACGAATCAATGTTATCCACAGTCAAGTCTTCAATGCATTGGACGTGCGACAAATCCAAGCGTATCTCTGCCGGTGGCAATCTTAGAATGGTGCGATCAAAGACGTGCGCCAGAAATAAGACACAACAGACAATAATGGCCATGCATCGATAGTTGTTGTGCCGTCGCCGTATCCGGGCCCGTTTCAGGGAAGCCGTGCTGATCACCACATTGGGAAATGCCAAGTCCACATTGGTGATACGCTTGTGCGTCTTGTACGAGGGGCTCATCTTCTGGACCATGGCATTGATATTCTAATAATAAGAAGCTATTAATAGCTAGCTAGCCAGACATACATGTACTCTAGATAGCACTAGCATAGACTGTCGGCTGTCGCTTTGGACGCTTGGAGGCTTGCTACTCCTGGATTGACCACCGGAAAAGGAGCAACCACTGGAAATCTACCCAAGGACGGGGTAAATTCTGTTCCACTCAGGGGAAACCTCTCCACACCTCCCATTTCTGAAAGAAACTCACTTTTGACATCAGCTCATGCTGACGGAGATACCCCTGGCAGTTTGACCAATAGAGACAACCTGACAATACTTTGAGATAGGGAATGCATAATTTGGACATGCCCGTCGCAGTGGTGATAGCTGCTTGCCCATTCGGCTGCCACGGGAGCAACGAATGGCTGGCAAAGTAGGGCTTTCATTTTTGACCATTTTATTCTGGTTTGACATAAGATAATGCCTGCTACATGGCTGTCAGCACTACAACAAGCACATGGCTGCGACAAGCAAAGAATGTAGATAAATTTATATATTAATCTTTGTTGTGTAGGTGCTATATTGGTTGAGTTCATCCTGTAGTCCTCCTGTAGTGTTTTCCGCATCAACAAAAAGGACTTCATGGCAGCAAAGCTACAGCAGCTCTGCAGTCCGGAAAATTTCCAGTGGTTGCTCCAAGAGTAGCTTGGAGGGGCCAGGTGGTGGTTGTCGACACGGATGAACCCCAGCCTTATGCGTCTTTAGTCACGATTGTTTGAGACTCGACTCAACACAACTGCTTCCTTCCTTCCTTCGACGCATCAGGCGAGGTCCTATCCATTCTCCATGTGTGTCCTCCGTGCATTCGCGAAACACATTTATTTTCGTCGATTTATTTAGTTGTACCAATAAAGATTTCATTCCTATCCACATACAGTGGTACGCACGCGAACACGAACCACCTCGAATCCCCAACTCTAACGAAAATGGCCAACCCACCAGATTCTCTCACTTTTCGATTTTTGATTTTCGTTAGAGTTGGGGATTCGTTGGGTTACGGTAGAGTTGGGGATTTGTTGGGTCATACGATTTTAGCAAAAAGTGACTGAACTAAGTAAGTTTATGACTGACGACTGACGTTTTCGGAAGCTCGGCTGGCTCTAAGCGAAATCCATTTCCACGAAAGCTGCGGTACGGCGAATTGAGAATGTGAAATCAATGGTTCGCCGTACCGCAGGAGTCTTCCTCGACTCCTAGCCACCGCCTCAGCTGTCCGCAATCTGGTTGGCATGGGCAGTTCGCTAGGACTATTTAGGTACGACCAAATACACCTAGAGTATGTAGTGTCGGAATGATAGTGCTAGGGTTGGGGAACAACGGTGATATCCAGTGCACCAGTGTACCAATCCAAAACCGTTGGAACCCAACATTGAACTGAGAAGAGCCCATGTGCTGACGAACAGCGTGTCACAGACACGATGCCGAAAGCCCCATGTCAACTGAGTCAGCGGACACCCGGAGTGGTATACAGTGGGACTGTAAACCACCTTTACTCTAGGTGTAAACCCACGAAGAAAAGAGGCAAGCCAACATACTGTACAAGCGAATGAAGGCTGAAACTAAAAAGTTTGGCCACCGGAATGGCAATGTAGCCAGTTTACACTCTTGGAGGAGTCAGCGGACACCCGGAGTGGTATACAGTGGGACTGTAAACTACCTTTACTCTAGGTGTAAACCCACGAAGAAAAGAGGCGAGCCAACATACTGTACAAGCGAATGAAGGCTGAAACTAAAAAGTTAGGCCACCGGAATGGCAATGTAGCCAGTTTACACTCTTGGAGGAGGAATAGCCAGGCGCAAAGGGCGACCATGGCAAGCAATCAGGCGGCGCAGAGGGCCACCACCACCACCGTTCAAAGATGGAGGCAACAGGGCCACACCAAAAAGCATTGACGGCCTAAATCACTGGCACAGCTGTCTGGTCAGGTCCCCGCCAGTCATGAGACCAATGGCTGTCACTATAAGGTGTGGTGTGGCGCTGTGTAGTGTGTGGTGTGGAACAGTGCAAGCAACTGGTCACCACAACCCGCCGAGACCAAAGTCTCGCGGCGCACCAAGTCATCGGTGGTTGGAAGACTGAGGGGCGGGGCAAAGACTTAGAGGGCAGAGTCAAAGACTTAGAGGCCCCATGTCCTTTTCATGCATCGACTTCGCGCGAAGGACTTTTCATGCCTCGACTTAGGATTTCGAAAGCATGGATGAAAACACGTCACCCGAAATGACGTCATCAACGTGACACTGCCCGGTCACGTGATGACGTCATTATCGGATGACGTCAGTTGGATTCTGAATTTTTAAAGCGGGGGTGAAATCCAATCCGGTCAAGAGTCCGAGACATAAGGGACCACCAATCTTGCTAAGAGCACAAGACTTAGGGGCCAATCCGTCGAAGACTTAAGGGCCGATCCAGCTTTTTTTTTTTTTTTTTTTTGAAATCGCGAAACGCGAAAATCGAAAATCGACCATGGCCCTAGAGTCGGACGCATGCAACAACAGAGGCTGCAAAAGGCAAGAAACGAAGCACCAGTTGGTGTCGCTCAAGATGGGAGTGAAGCACCAGATGGTGTCGCTCAAGAGGGGAAACGAAGCACCAGTTGGTGTCGCTCAAGAGGGGAGTGAAGCACGAGTTGGTGTCGCTCAAGATGTGCTAGAGAAGCACCAGTTGATGAATGAGTCATTATGGCAAGTGTGGCTAGAGAAAAACCAGTCGGTGAACTCATCATGGCAGTGTGGCCAGAGAAGCACGAGGCGGTGAACGCATCATAGCAGCGGGGCTAGCAGAAACACCAGGCGGTGAAACGCCATCAAGGCAGAAGAGAGCCAGTTGGCGAACTCTCATGGTGGGAGCACCAGTCGGTGACTAGCCGTTGGGGCTAGCGAAGCACCAGGGGGTGAACGCATCATAGCAGTGGGGCTACCAGAAGCAACCAAGGTGGTGAAACGCATCAAGCGCCTAGAGGAAGAAAGGATCGACCCGGTGGCAACAAGTCGTCATACGGCCGAAAAGCCCACAACAACAAAGGAAACCGGGCAGATCGATCGACTACGAACAAAACCGCGATCCAGCCAACAAACACCAAGTCAAAGGAGCAGTAGCAGTAGCCATGGTGGCAATAGCCGTAGCAGTAGCCGTAGCTAGTAGACGTCCGTCCCGTTGTGGTAAAAGCAACAAACGAAAAAAATCGCTTATCGAGGTGGAAAAAAGCAACACGTCAAAAGACCGACCGATGATCGTTTCGGACCAACCAAAGGGCTTTCCAAGCGCAACAACGACCGACAACCTAACAAAGTAAGAGGTTAGCCCCCGTAAAACAGTATCAGTAGCGGTAGCCCGTAAGCTAGTAAGCCGTCGCGAAATAGCCATCGAAAACGAAAAAGAAAAAAGGACATCATTGTCCTCG